CCCACCCCTTTTAGTTTCAGGTATGAGGTTGGACTCCAGTCGCTGCAGCAAGGGCAGATCATACGCTGCACACATGCTGAAGAATTGCTTGGGTTTTTTAATCAAGTAGTTGTCATTTTTGACAACGTGATGCAGAACAGGTGCTGTGAGCTGACCTTTACGCTGCCTGCCTGGACAAATGGGGGAATTAAAGCATTTTGGAGTTCAAAGTTCATGCTGTAGGGCCAAGCTGGAGTGAAGGAAAGGCAGTAACTGCTCACAGTTGTGTTAATAAACCCCCAGCAGTATGATCTGGTCCCTTTTGTGCCTGTGTGGCCTGACATTCCTCTGTTCTTACACCCTGCTCTCGCTCAGGCCATCAGGGATACCTTGAAATCTTTGGGAAACTTCTTTCCCCAGCTTTTTTTTTTTTTTAACACCAGATGACAGAGTATTCCCAGCCCGAGCTTGTGCAAGTGGTGAAGCTGAAATCTGAGATGCTTGCTGCAGTGCTCAGTCTTTCCCAAGAAGGACCGGGGGAGTGTCTTGGGTTTTTAGTAAGGCTGCGTGGGTGTGCATATTAAACTGAAATTCTGCTGTGCTTGGCTACCTCGGGGACTAGTTATAATCACCGGGCAAATACGCTGTGTGTAGGAGAAATGCTTAATTTCATGAAATTCGTTGCATTGTGCTGGATGCTAGATTGTGATTGGGAAATATCAGTCGGTGAAAGCAGAAGGCAGAGCTTGGCAGAGGCGGCGGATGGCTTTAAACAAAACCCTCCTCGCTGCTCAGGGGCTGCGATGCTCCGAGGAGAGGTTCTGGGGTAAATCAGGCGGAGGTGGAGGGCTGGGGCTGCGCAGCTTTCTGGGGTTTTTGACAGCGCACCTGGAACACGTAAACGCCGCGAGCGATTTGTTACAAGAAATAAAAACCTCCTAAAAGTCATGGGAGGGGGTTGCAAATCTCTCGAGCTGAAGGAAAAGGAACGATTTCGTTTCAGAACGTGAACAACAAACCTGCCAGAGCAGTCACGGTCGCCAAGGGAAAAAACATTTGGCTAAGGAAGAGCATTTGTAAAGCTGCTACCGAAGGAAGTGTAATAAGAAACGTTTAAAAAGCCACTGCCTCGGTGATTTTCCAGGATAGCCTCGCTAGCAGGAGAGCAGTTTCTAGCTTTGCAGAGCTTGGAAGACCGTGCAGATCATGTTGGGTGCAACCATTTGTACCCCCAAAAAGCTCCAGTTGTTGAATTAGATAGCAAAAGCGAGGTGGCCTCCCCGGGGATCCCATCCTGAAACCTCAGGGCTCTGCAACACGTGTCCTCTCCCTCTGTGACCCACCCAGCTCTGTCCTGACCCTGCTCCAGACTCCCAGGAGCCCCTTCCCCGGGGCATAGGAGTGGTGGTGGGAGCTCATGATCAGCCCCCCTGCTGGGTTGTCTGGAGCATTTGGGCGCCAAGAAGTTGCCAAAGCAAGTTTGATTCAGCTGCTGTTCTTTGACACCGTCTGTGGTTCTCTGTAAATCACTAACAGATAATATTTTCATATTCTGGCTCTCTCCATGTCCCCTGCTTTCTGAATAATTACCTTGTTTTGTGCGAGCCGTAAGAGGTTTTCACAGATAATTCATCCAGCGCTGAAAGGCAGCCAGCTTTTGGGGCTGGAGCACATTTTCTGGCCACCTGGCATTGCTGCACAGAGGTCTGCGCTGGAGCGCAGCTGCCTCCGGAGGGAAGCGCCGTATCCAGGACAGCCGAGGGCAGGGAGAAAAACCAAACCCAGCTGAAATCCCAGCCGCCCTTCCTCGGAGAATAATTTAGCTTGGCAAACTCAGCCCACCCCGAATTTCTGGATGTGTAGACAGATTGATCCCGCAGATCTGGATGCTCTCACCCACAGAAGGGCCGTTTCACTGGAAACAAAACACCTCTTGGGAGCTGTTTGCGGTGGTGTGCTCTGTCTCAGCTCGCTCCCTGCGTCCTGGCTGGTGCTGGGCTCTGCGAGGGTGGGTGGGTCGGAGCCCAGCGTGGAGCCGGGATTGCCCCGAGGTTCCCATCCCCATCCCAGTGGATGAGTTGCTCCGGGGCAGGCAGGAGTGATCGTCACTGTGCCAGCTTATCTCAGCGACTCCCAGAGCCAAGCCACCAAAGCTGTTGGGTAACTGCTGGCATTGCTGTGCTGAGGGGCTTCAATGAGACAGCAGCAGCAGCCCTGGTCTACAGCCTCCATCATCCTCAATGTCCTCATCTTCAATGATGATTGAAGCCGGGAGCGGCATCAGCATCTCAATCTTCACCAATAGAGACATCATTGAGGTGCAAGTCACAACTGGAGACCCTCACCTGGGAGGTGATGACTTGGGCAACCAGTTGGTGAGCATCTTCATGGATGATTCTTAAAGAAGCATCAAGAGAGCGTCAGGCAGGATGGACAAGCTCTCTGGAGGCTCAGGAAAGCCTGCGAGGTGGCCAAACAGGCTCCTCACCTCCAGCATGAAAGCCACCAGCAGCTCAGACTGCCTCTAAAGGGATCAGTCTGCAGGCAGATGTTACATGTGCCCAGTTCAAGCACCTGAGCACCAACCTCTTGGCTGGCAGATGCCAAAAGAAGGGGTAGCTGAGCAAAGAGAAGACCCTGAAGGTGGCAGAAGACTATGAGAAATACCGAGTAGAGGACAGGGTGCTGGACTGGAAGCTGGCCACCAGGGACTACCTCTGGTCCTGTGCTTTTAGCGTGAAGCTGACCTCTGGAGACATCTTGAGCTACTTCACCCTGCAGAT